TATTTTTCTCAGCTTCATTGTAAAGTGTTTTGAAACATTCTATCATCACTTTTCTGAATTCTTTCTCAGGCATTTCCAGGGCCTGCCCTCCTTCCATCATGGAGAGAAAGTTTACTTCTGGTTCAAATTTCTCAGATATTTTATCTTTTATTTGGACATATGTCGCTATGGACATCTGCTTTTGCTTCTTGGGCATGTTTAATATTTGTCTGTGGCCCTAATAATTAATTAAGTATGTCGTTTGGTAATTTTTTATGTTTTCTGATTGCCTCCAGTAGGATGTGGTCAGGGTGTTGTCTTCCCTTTTTAATCTTTTATGTGGCAGCCAAACAGCTCCAGTCAGGTAGAAAAAAAAAAACCAAAATCAAAGGCAAAAATGGGGTTTTCCGATAGTGGAAGTTAGGCTATGTGACCTCCAAGCAACACCAGTTGGGTAGCAATCAAAATCAGAAGCAAAGTAAAAAACAAGAGCGATAATGAGATAATAATGAAGCAAGAGAAAAAAAAAAACAACAGCATGAAAGAAAGGACCGAAAACAAAAACAAAAACAAAAAAGAGAGAAAAAAAGAAAAGAAAAGAGAGAAAGGATTCAGCCCCAGAAAAAATGAGATTAAACAAGGCAATCTTTAGTCACTCACACAAAAAGAAAGTGAACAGAGGAAAAGGAAAAAAGAGTAATAATAATAAAAACAAACAACAGCAATAAAAAAAAAAAAACCCTTTATTGGTTTTCTAAGGAGCAGCTGGTGGGGACAGTCTACCGACCTTGCAGTTCAAAGCGCTCTGCAGTGTGGTCCCTTAACCTGCAGAGCAAAAAGAAAGAGAAGAAAACAAAACCAAGTACCCTTTATAGGGTTTCTAAGGAGCAGCTGGTGGGCCCGAACTTCCGACCTGGCAGTTCAAAAGGTTCTGTAGTCTAGTCCCTTAACTTACAGGTACACGGCAGGATTGCCTTGTTGCTGTTGGTAAAAATCACCTCAAGGCCTCTCCCCTTGTGCTGGCTTGTGCTGGCTTGTGTCTTGCTGTCAGGGCTTGAACCTTGGAGGTTGGGCAGTGGGCTAGCCTGTGTTGCTGGGTCAGGGAAGCGCCGGACGTCCCTCCCTGCTCGCGGCAGGAGGTGGGCTGACTGCCCCAGCGCCCCGCGGTTCAGTTGAATGTGAGGTGAGCTGTTTGCTGGCACACGCCCGGCATGGCTTAGGGATGCTGCTCAGTTCAGTGGGAGGCAGGTCGCTCGCTTTCGTGCGTCTGGCAGGCCCGTGGTACGCGGCTCGGGCGGGAGGGGAGCTGCCCGCCTGTGTGCACGCGCGCCCGGTGGGCCCTGGGAACACGGTTGGACTGTGCTGGGGTGGGGGGTCTGCTGGCCGGCGGACACGGGTCAACTGGACAGGGCATAAGTGGCTCAGGCAGGCATAGTCCGCGCCTGATGACGTCAGACAGTCGCCGCTTCTCATTTCCTTCAGGCTTTTTTTTTGTTTGTTTGTTTTCCCCTTTTAAACTAACTTCCCTCTGTCCACTGTATGTGCAGAAATCCCCCCTTGGGGTAGGTGTCACCAGTGGCTCTCCCTGCTTGAGTCTCCCCACTACTGGAGGCTCTGCACGGGCTGGTTCCCGCCACGCCCCCTCAAGCCCAAAGGAGCTGGGGCTGCAGCGGCGCAATTTTAAGAAGCCTGTAATTCCTCGCACAGTGATTTCTCAAAGAAGCGGGTCTAAGGCTCTGGCGCGCTGAGATTCACACGGGCTGTAAGACTGTGAGTTCCTACCTGGGAGGTTTAACTCGCGAGTTGCCTCCCCCGATCCCAGAGCCCCTACTCACCCACACCGCCTGGCTGCCTTGGCAAACCGGAAGTCCCATTTCTTTTTTGATGACCTCTGATTTTCCTAGATTCCTACTTTGTGCATTCTGTCTTCCTATTATTAATGGATATTTGCAGCTATTACATATGATGCCACTAATAAAGGTCAAAGACTAGAGCTTTCAGCATGGATTGCACAAAAATCCTTACACTGGGTCAATAAATAACATCAAGATAACTGGAGAAAAGATTGAAGTTGTCAAAGACTTCATTTTGCTTGGATCCACAATTAACACTCATGAAGCAGCCTTCTGTAAATCAAATTATATATTGCATTAGGTAGATCTGCTGCAAAAGACCTCTCAAAAGTGTTCAAGATCAAAGAAGTCAATTTGAGGACTAATTTGCACCTGACCCAGTCTATGGTATCTTTAGTCACCTCCAGGGATATGAAAGTTGGAAAATGAATAAGGAAAACTGTAGAAGAATTGATGCATTTGTATTATGGTTTTGGCAAAGAATATTGAAAGTACCAAGAGCTACCATGGTAGCATAGTGGATTACGAGCTGGACTGCACCGCAAAGTCAGTAGTTTGAATCTATCAGCTGCTCAACAGGAGAAAGAGGAGGCTTTCTGATCCCACAAGATTTACAGCCTCAGAAACCCTATACAAGGTTGCTATGAGTCAGAACCAAATCTACGGCACACAACCACCCCACCACCATCACCGTGGACTGTCAGAAGAACAACCAAATCTATCTTGGAAGAAGTACAGACAGAATGTTTCTTAGAAGGAAAGATGGCGAGATTTCATCTCTGCTACTTTGGACATGTTGTCAGAAGAAAATAGTCCCTGGAGTAAAACATCATGCTTGATAAAGTTGAGGGTCAGCAAAAAAAATAAGAACCCCCTATGAGATGGATTGACACAGTGGCAGCAACATGGGGCTCAAACATAACTGCAGGATGGCTCTGGACTGGGCAGTATTTCGTTCTGTTGTGCACAAGGTAGCTATGAGTTGAAACTAACTTGATGGCACCTAACAACAAACAATATATGATTGTGAGTACTGAAAAATAGTATATCAAAATACCTGGCAAATAACAAGTGCATTGTAAATGGTAGCTGCTATTTATTGTAGTAGTATTGGTTGTAATACATCAGTCAGTCAGTTATGTGATTGGAGTATATGTTGGAGCTTTTACAACATATTTATAATCTCTCATACTAGCCCAGATATGTCTCCTGTAACTTTTAAATTTAAAAACTGAATATAAAAGATTTAAATGACTTATTTGACTGCTTTTTTCTATAGATTGATCCTGAATTGGAAAAAAAACTGAAAATGAATAAAGTATCATTGGAGTCAGAATATGAGGTACGATATGTTAACATTCTCTCTTTTATAACATGTTCTTTAGTTAGTGATTGGATCTTCCTGCCTAAGATAAACTTATTATCACTGCAGAAAAAAATTATCTTGAATATACATTATTAAGAAGGAGCTCTGTAGCACAGTGGGTTACAAGTTGGATTACTAACTACAAGATTAGCAGTTAGAATCTACCAGCTACTCTGAGGGAGAAAGAATAGACGTTATGCTCCCAAAAGATCTATAGCCTGGGAAACCCTATACAGGGTCGCTATGATTCGGACCTGATTCAATGGTACACAACTACTACATCAATACCAATTGATACTAGAATAACAAGGTAGTCATTTGAAAAGGAAACAAAGATGGATGCATGCTTTTATATGACAAATAAATTCTAGATGGATTAAAATGAAAAAAAAAATTAACAATACTCCTTGTTGTTAAATGTTGTCAAGTTGGTTTCGATACACAGTGACCCTGTATAGGGTTTCAGAGGAGCAGCTGGTAGGTTTGAACTTCCAAGTATGTGGTTTGCAGTCCAGTGCTGATCCTAAAGCACCACACCAGGAGTTGGAAAAAGGAGCATTTTTTTCCCACGACATCTCATGTCAGCAAAACCTATTTAAATATGATACAAAACCCAGAAGCCATAAATGTAAAGGTTTATAAGTATATACAGCCTACAAAAAAATCTGTATATGAGGCTGCAAGTTAAATAGGAATTCATAAAAATAATCTTTTATCATGATGAATTAGTTCATTTAAGTAGAAAGAACATGTATACAAATCAATAGAAGAAATTCAACAATCTAGTTAGTTGCCCAAAATATTGGCAAAACTTGTAGAGTTTAGAAAAAAGGAAATATACATGTGATTCATATAAAGATATGACAAGATGCTCAACTTCATTTATTGTAAAACTATTACTTGTCAAAATTATAATACTAGAGAATTATATGGTGCTATTTTCTGTCCATTGTATTATGAGGATATGTTCTCCATCTCTAAGTAGTTTGGCCATTTTGAGGGAAATGAATTTTCAAGTTTTTCCTGATTTTAGACACCAACTATGAAGAGTTAGATCAAACTTCACAGGTTAAGGGCATAGTCTTCCACAAGTCTACTCTACTCCAGATACCAGCCATAAATACAGGACTATCTGGCTCTAAATTGAGAAGTTCCCACTACCCCTCTGGTTCAGTCATTCACTAGAAGTCCCATGTGCTGTGGGTTAATGCAGTGGATTGCAAAGTTGGTTTGAACTACAAGGTCAGCTGTTTAAGCTTACTAGGTGCTCCTATATAGGGTCTCTATGGGTCTGAATTGACTCCATGGCACTTAACAACTACAACAACGTGAGTATAGTTTTCTTAGAGCAAAGAGATGCAAAACAGAACCATCCAAAGGGAGATGCATGGGTCAAAGTCTGGAAGGCTAAAGACAGACATGTCACCTTCCCAACACATTGATGTTCAGAGAATATCTTCAGTAAAGGAAGCATACCATTGCTAGTGTGCAGAGTTTTTAATTTGAGGCTTCACTAAGTAGTTGTTCTTGGTTGAATCATTTGAGGTGTGCTTAAACTCAGTCTCTACTCCCGTCCACTCCCTGGTGATAGGGCTGAATTGCTCAAATCTCCCAAACTCTAATCACATGATTAGTTTTTCTAACGTGGCTAGACCCCCATCCTGAGGCATTACTATCACATAAACTATTTAAGGGGCCACCAAGAATTGCTTCATTAGTATAATAGATGTGGTCCAAGGGGCCCACCATGAATAAGAAAGATAACAAGACCTAACATAAAATTCCAAGGTTTTAGATTTTACATCCCAGGAATCTTGGACAAAGACCAAATTTCTTGTTAAGTGCCCTTTCTGATTCATAGTGACCCTGTACAGGGTTTCTTAGGAGCAGCTGGTGGATTTAAACCACCAACCCTGATGGCTTGGTGTTTACAACACCACACCAAGAGTCCAGACTTCTTCTTGGGTAAAAATTCTTCACCACACAGTCATATTTTCTTGCTTCTTTGTCTCATAAAGTGAACATAAAAAACTCTTCCAAAAAGAAAAATGTTTTCATTGTATTGGCTGATCACCTGGAAGTTGTTTTTAAAAACTATTTTGTTTTCAGTGAAAACAAATTAGGTTCCCATTTAACAATTTCTACACAAATTATTTGTTCTGTGACATAGATTAGATATTTCACAATGTGTTATCATTCTGTTTAATTGCATTCTGGTTGTTCTGTTTCCAATACTTTTGTTTCCATTCCCCTTTATCGTCACATCTTGACTTTAGAGTGATCGTCTTCATATAGGTAGTTTTGTTCACTTCGTTTTGTACTTTGTTAGCATCTCTGGAAAGCCTACAATGTCTCCTGAGTCCCTCTAACTTGGTGGGATATAGTGTCTAAACTGTCTCCCCAGAAGGTCTTGTGAGAGCTTCAAACTTTCTTAGAGTAGGTTCAGAGTAGTAATTGTTCTGGGGCATGATACTTATTTCTAAAGGGCAGCCTTGTTGATATTTCACCTGGTCATCAGAACGGCAGTGAGGCATCTACTCTGACAGGACTGCAAATCCACTATCGCTGATATAGCTTTCCCCTGGCTTCTTGCCGGCTTGCTCTTTTTCATACTCCACGGTTGTTGTTGTTGTTAAGTGCTGTCCAGTCATTTCAGACTCACAGTGATCCTGTCTAGGGTTTTCGAGGAGCAACTAGTGAGTTTGAACCACTGACTTTGCAGTTCAAGCTGATCTTGCAGTCCATTGCTTATCTTATAGTGCCACACCGGTGGCTAAGGGGATAAGCCTTGGGTTTTCTTGCCCAGACATCTACAGCCTAGTGTTCAGTTATGCTGAATGTTAAATAAAATGGGAATCTTTCTTTCCCAAAGATTCGGCCACTTATACATGACATTGTTTTGCCAACATTGCATCCCATGTAAGAATTATTTTAAATCTCATGAGCATATCTGTTTTCTGGATGGTGGCTGGAATGTTTTTGTTGTTGTTGTTGTTGTTTTTTGGTGTGGTGCAAATATACACAACAAAATATTCACCAATTGAATTTTCTGTATGCACAATTCAGTGACATTGTTTACACTCTTCATGCTACACAACCACAACAGTTGTTGATTCTTTGGTTAAGTGCTGTCAAGTCGGTTCCAACTCAAAGCGACCCTGTATAGGGTTTCTGAGGAGCAGCTGGTGAGCTTGAACCACCTATCTTTTTCCAATTATTCTACCACTATTACATAATCTCAGTGCCCCCAAGGAAAAACTTTCCCTCCCCTCTCCCCATACCCTTGGTGTAACCACTAGTAAAGTTTGGTTTTTATCTATTTGCTCATATAAGTGAGGCTATACAGTATTTGTCTTTTTGGGATGGCTTATTTTGCTCTGCATGTTTTCCAGGTTCATGTAAATCATTAGGACTTAATTTCTCTTCATGGCTAAACAAAATTCCTTTTTATGTGCCTGTACCACATTTTGTTTCTCCATGTGTCTGTTGATGGGCAATTAGGTTGTTTCTACTTTATGTCTATTATGAAAAGTACTGCAGTGAACATTGTTAAAAACCTTTTATAACTTTAGATCACTTCATAACTGTGATTGATACTTTAATCTATTCTTAAACCATAAATTACTGGAATTTTGCTTACCCATATATTTAATACAGATCACAGGTAAAACTGCAAATGAAATTTATAGAATGTTTTCTTTCACTGCCTCCCAATTATATGGTCAAAACTTGTAACTTCTACTTGTTGTAATACAAGGGAACTTCAGAATGTTTGTGGGAAAATACAATTAAAAGATAATGAAATTTTCCACTTTTCCTGTAGTGCTTCTGTGGAGCATGTGGAAATAGATTTTTATTTTAATTCTTTTAGAAACCATAGAATGTGCAAATTGAATAAACCATGTAGAGAATTTATATCAGCTTTTTTGTTATTACTTAAAAAGAAGTAATTCAGGTGCAGATTCTAGATAAATCACTTGTTAATCAACGATTAATGCATAATATCCAGGTGACAAGGTAAACTTATACCATTTTTCTTATTGCTGAATGACTATAAGCTGTCATGAATTCTCTTAGTTTCTTGTTATCTTCTTCACTCAATTATTACATAATAACCAAAGCACAACTTACACAAAAGTGATTGAAGATTGGTGACCAGGAGAAGTATGAAAAACAATATATTTTCTTCCCATTGGCTTTATCTTCACTCCTGTGCTTGAGAGATACTTCACCCTAAAATGAAATTAGGATGATCCAAACCGAAGTTGTAAATAGATCTGATTGTCAGAAAGTGTTTTGCTCATGGCAGCTGTGGGAAATGTCTTTTTTTTCCCTTTTGAAGTCAGGCTCATTTTTGAGAGTGAAGACAGATCATTTTGGTCTGTTTTCTTCTTTGTCACAGATCTGATCCTAGAGCCTATTATTTCCCTCTTATCCTTTCATTTACTCTCTATGCTGACCATTTTAGTCATTGTGCTGGAATCAGCTTTAAGATTTAGACTTTCGGTAAGATTTAGACTTTCGTTTTCCTAGCTTCTTCCTTTTCTTTGTGTTCTCCAAAAAAAGTATTCACTTTTTCCATTCTAATAGTTTTATACTTAGATATTGATATTAAATAGGCACTAACATCAATTAACAAGTACAGAAATTTGCAAGCACTAAGAATTCTGACATTTCTTTAATTATTATGCTTATCCTGTAGTTTATTTATTTTCTAAAACTATAATTGAGATTTCACTGGATTCTTATATTCACTTCATTCATTTATTCAGTGATATGCTAAAATAAACCAAATTTTTCTGGTCCTGTAGAAAATAAAAGACTCAGCTTTTGATGACTGGAAGAATGTTCGAGGACCCAGGCCTTGGGAAGATACCGACCTACTCCAAAGACAAAATCCAGAATTCCTAAAGACTAAGGCATCTTGAATATGTTAATTTTTTTAAATTAAAAATGCACTCAATTAGGCACTGTATGTGGCATTGACCACAGATATTCTGCATTGCTCAATAAAAATGTAGATATTGCTACCAAAGTGTTGCAATTTATCCAGTTTCCCAGCAATCTACCCATATTCCTTATCTACCAGTTACCTGGCAAAGGGGAACATTTTAGATATTTCTATTTGATTCCTAATAAAAATAGTGGATCTACATCTAAACCAAAAATCAAGCAGTGGTTATTTCAGAACTATATAGGAAAACAATGTTGATCACAGTCTGAGAAGAGTTTTGGTTTTATTTTTATGAGGGTAAATCAGAATTATTACTGCAACTTTATGTATCCTGAATGTTTATATAATAAGCTTTACAAGGTAGTAATTATGGGTGCACATTAGTAACCCAGGAACCACCTGTACTTCAAAGTCCTCTATGTTATTCCATAAAATTTACTCTTTTATGAATAGATTAAGTACATGAGCATCAGTCAAAAAGTAGTGCTACCCACCTAAAAAAGCATGTACAGGGTCGCTATGGGTCGGAACCGACTCGACGGCACTTAACAACAATAACAACCAACCTTGAACTGCTGAGAGAACAGAAAAATCGTATTGCAAGAAAGACATGCAAAGGCATTTGAGGAAGAGGCGGGGCTTGAGAAGAGGGTGGAGGTTCAGTGAAGGTCGCCATCAGCAATAGCACAAAATACCAGGCAAAGCAGAACCAGGGCAGAGCTCCAAAACTCAGAACCACAAAGATAGGAATATTTTAAAGGCTTATAGCTTGTGGAGTTTGGAGCTGAAGTAAAAAATGGCATACTTTTGAATTTGCCAGGCTGGGCTCGGAGTCCCGGGGCCAGACCAAGCAGCGGGATGAAACAGGGGGTGCAAAAAAACATGGAAAAACACCGCGGGAACCTTAGGACAAAGCTTCCCTTCTGCCTTTAGAGGACTCTTTGTCTCCCTATATTACACAAGAAGATTAAGCAACCTCTTTCATATAGCCAAGCTACAATCACACTCTATAAAACACCAAAACCCAGGCAAGAACCAATACCAGCTGCCATATACCAGGGAAACAGACAACTCCTGTGAAAGTTACTCTGAGTTAAGCAATAAGAAGATTGAAAAGGGAAG